TTGCTACTGAAATTAGTGTTTGCCATTACCCACCGCCTCATAGGGCAGCTACTCTAACTGCCCTGGATACAGCCTGTGAGTGGATGTTATCTGACATCCTTGGGAATGTCAATTGCCAGTTTGTAGTGTTTCTAATTCTGTCTGTGTTGCTCGAATGCTAAACGGTCTTTTAATAAAAAATAAATAAATAAATAAATAAATAAATAAATAAATAAATAAATAAATAAATAAATAAATAAATAAATAACAAACCAGTACCAGATATTGGGGTAAATTCTGAAAGATCAGAGAGACAAAGGAACAAGCCACAGATACCTCTTACCTCTAGAACTCCTCAGCCTGAAAAAGCCTCTAGTTCCTGTCTGCTTGAGCCTTATCTACCTTTCTCTGCCCAGCCCTCACTTCCTGGGATTAAAGGCATGTGGTGCTTCCCAAGCAAAGGCATGATCTCTCAAGTGCTGGGATTAAAGGCATGTGACTCCCAAGTACTGAGATTAAAGGTGTGTGCCACCACTGTCTGGCTCTGTTTCTCTCCTAGACTGAGTCAATCTCACGTAGTCCAGGGTGGCTTTGAACTCACAGACATCCAGATGGATCTCTGCCTCCTGAATGCTAGGATTAAAGGTGTGTGCCACCACTGCCTGGCTTCTATGTTTAATCCAGTGGCTTGTTCTGTCCTCTGATCTTCAGGCAAGCTTTATTAGGGTACACAATATATCACTGCAGTCTCTGTTGTAAGCAACTCTGAGTCTTGGTCTACATTCTTCCATTGGTGTAAGGATCAGACTATGGTTTGGGGTTTTGTGTAACACAACCATGGCTTACCTCAGACATAGTGCTGTCTAAATCCATGCTATAAACCGTTGAAATGCAACTCTACCTGTAACTTAAACTTTCACACGCTTTGCGGCAATTATTCAGTATAGGTATTCCAGACAAAGAAACAGATTACTCCAAATGTAACATTATATTGCTTCCTATAAAACAGAGAACCATGCTCAGTCCAAAAGAATACCTTGGCATTTGTTTGGAGATAACTTTTAGTCTGTTTATCTAATTTATACTTGTCTAAACCATCCAGAGCATAGAATGGCTTGTTCATGGGCTCTTCTTCTCTGTTTTGTCTTGGGCACACTAGAGTCAGAACCCAGGGTCTTTTGTGTATGAGTCATGCACTGGGTGCCTGAACCACGTCTCTATGGCTAAGATTCAGGTTTTGTTTGGCTTTGGAGTGTGTCTCTGTCACTGAGGCTGGCCTAGAACATGCGTTCCTTCTGCCCCGGCCTCCACAGTGCTTTGGTTGCAGTCATAAGCACCATGCTGAGCTTATGCAGGGAAATACGGGAGAATCTCTGAAATCGTGGGCTGTGTTGTGACACTGGGCTGTTTACTTATCAGCACCTGTTTCCTTCCGACATGGAGTTCACAGTAGTCCTGTTCTCACGGTGTCACTGCAAGGGTTACATGGGGCAAGCTTTCTTGTTGGACTATTTTGGATCACCAGCCTACAAATATCAACATGGAGACTTCCATTTAATTATGAAAGCTTGGCCTTTACTTAGGCTTGCCCCCAACTAGCTCTTACAGCTTAAATTAATCTGCATTCTACCATGTGGCTTTTTTTTAACCTCTTCCCTATTTCTATATGTCGACTTGTTCTGCATCTTCTGGTGTCTCCTGCATGCCTAGATTCTTCTTCCCAGTTTCTCTCTACCCAGAAGTCCCACCTATACCGGTGCCTAGCTATTGGCCATTCAGCTTTTTATTGCATCAATCACAGCAACACGTCTTCCCACAGTGCACAAATATTCCGCAACAGTTAAATACTATAATTAAGTGGTTGGTTTTTTTCAAGTCCGGTACAAGGCACCAGTTTCACCATTACTTTATATTGTGACAGGAATTAGTTATAAAGAAAAGGCAGTAGTTTCTAAAGTAGCACATGGGAGAGATGAACAGGTATTGTGTAGGTTCACCTCCCAGGTTAAGGTGCCTTTGCTCAAAGGAGGTTTCTTTCAGTGTCCTGAAATTCCCCGGTGTGACAGGGTAAATTATGACTGTGAACTAGAGCCAAAGGGGAGGTTCTCTGAGAGTTCAGCTTTGCGCCCCCATCCATGCTACACTAATGCTGCAAACAAGGTAAGCACTTAAAACACTTGTCCACTCAGCTTGTGCTGAAACACAAGCATTCCCTTTATATCATTCTTAGTTCTCTGGAATAAGAAGGTCCAGTCCATCACCTTCCCTATATTTCTTGCCCTTGATGGCATCTCTGTATCTGGTACCAGAGTGTGTGGGTCTCCTGCTGCATCCACAGAGTTGAAGATACTGCTGACTAGAATCTGGCCTGCCTTAACCTGTTAGCCCAGGCTCTTGATGATGGGCCCCTGGCTGGAGTAACTTACAGGCTGCTCTGCTTTAGAGCATGACAATGCTTTTATTTCATCTTTTCTCCAATGACATTCTAAACTGTGTCGAGGCCACTGAGTCTTTTTATCTAATTTGTTAGCCCGGTCTTTCCCTGCCTTCAGCTTTGTGTCCTTAATGACTGGCCGGCATGCTTTTCCACTTAGAATACACACCAAATGGTACCAAGAAGTCCGTCAGTGTCTCCTAACTGTGCCTGTCTGCTCCTTCACAGAGGCTGAGCACCCCTGTCCCCAGGGTTAGACCCCTCTGCTCCCCTGAGCCCTTTCCTACCCTGTCTGTGCCAGAACTCGGGAGAGGCCAGTTGCAGCACAGATCTTTGTTATTTCTGCTCGATCATTTCACGCCCAGAACTCAGATCTTTCCGTTTGCTTCTTTGGTGATGACACTCCTGAAATGATCTTTGAGAAGCAGTTTTTATTTCCTTATACATTTGCCACAGCCCAATGCTTTTGTAAAGATAAACTAGCAGAAAAATGAAGTAAAATTATGCTAATAAAAGCCACCACCCCACACACACTTTTGATTGCTTTCTATACTTGTTTGTCTTTGTGACATGATCTCAGTACGTAGCTCAGTCTGGTCTCAAATTCATGGCTGAGGGTCGGGACAGGTGTGTCCTGCTACTGTGCCTCGTACTCTTTTTTAAAGTATCTCATTATGTATCCCTGGCTGTCCTGCAACTCACCATGTATAAAACCAGGTTGAATTCACCACAGAGATCTGCCTGCCTCTGCCTCCCCAGAGCTGGGATTAAAGGTTCACTTAAAACACACACACACACACACACACACACACACACACACACACACACACACACACACTATTGTTGTCTAGGTTGGCCTCAAACATGTGATCCTCTTATTTCAAACTCCCAAGTAGCAAGATTATAGGCATAAATTATGCTCAGATCAGCACAAGACTTAACTGATTGAAGTCAGTAGGTAAAGAATTATGAGGTGGAATTGCTATGAAAGTGACCGAACACTTTCAACCTCTATACTTACCCATTGTCGATCAGTAACAAATCCATATTTAACCAAATATCTGTTCAAATCTTACTCTGAAAATGTAAATAATCCTTAGGTCTCTTGAAGTCAAGGCCAGGCCCCTTAGTCTCTTCCTCCCTGAATCTCTTCTCCTTAGTTACCATCCAGCACGTGGGAACCATTTTATCCACACCCTCCTTCCTGACTGCAGGTGTCAGTGGTGGGGGACACCACGAGCACTGGCCTTCCTGATTCAGTCCTTAAGACGTAAAAGAAGCCAATGAAGTTAGAGACTGCTCTTTTCAATGCTTTGTTCTGTCTGATCTTAAGCTACAGGCTCCCATTTTAAAAATACTTACTATTTTTAATTTTGTATATATATATATATGTGTGTGTGTGTGTGTGTGTGTGTGTGTGTGTGTGTGTGTGTGTTTATGTACATATGAGCACAGGTCCCACAGAGGTCAGAGACATCTGATCCCCTAGAGCTTGAGTTATAGTGGTTGTGAGCCACCTGACATGGGTTCTGGGAACTCAACTCAGGTCTTCTGCAAGATGAGCACCCACTCTTAACTATCAAGCTATTGTTCCAGCCCGAGAATTACTCTGCACTGGAAAATTGCATTTCTACTATAATAAGTTCAGATACATCTATGGCAGGTAAGTATCATGGGTGACTGTGAGGGTCACAATCTCAGAAAGGTAGAAAAGAAGAACACAGGGAAATTTGTAATACAAAGAATGAAAAAGATTCAGTTTTGTTAGTAAACCGACTTTATTTCCTTAAAATTAAAATGACCTCACTCATCTTATTTTTGCTCTTGTAACAAGGAATGTGAATGCTAAGAAAATCATTCAGAGGCTGTGGGTGTAAACTCAACCGAGCACACTTGACAGGCATGCGGCTCTGGGGTCTGACCTAGCGTTGGAAAGGAAAGGAGCAGTGGGAGAAGGGAAGAGGAGGGAACAGAGAAAGAGTGGTCATCTGCATAGTTAACGCGACGGTAGCGGGTAGGGAAAGTGAATAAGGCATTTTGATTTCTCTGTATGCAGGAGCTGCAGTTAAAAACAGGACAAGGAGAAGGTCTGAACCCAAAGGCTGAAGATCTCGATGGGTTTAACTCGAACAGAAGAAAAGGTCCTTTTGCAAGTGTGGACCAACTCCAGGTTGGTCAGCTCTGTTCAGTGTTTCTAATGCTCTTCAATTTTGATGAGAGTCTAAGTACAGGTTAAAAAATGGCAGATTCTGAATAAAATCTTCAGATATTAGATTTTTTTTGTTGCTTGTTTGTAAAATGTCTCATATTTCTTTCAAAAATTTTTATTAAATTATTTCTCATCCAGAAATGTGTTATCTTCTTATGTTGGCAGAAATGATTTATTTGAATATTGTATGAAATACATGTTATAATACTAGATTATATTTATTCCCATTACAGACAGATTTATTCTCAGAGAGACAGGTATATTTCTAAAATCTAGAACTCTACATTCAAACAGAATCAAATTATGTATGTACTATAACATATTAAGGAGTATTTTAGTGTCATATTTTAAAAAATAAAACCACAACCCATAAACTACTTTCCAAGGTCAAAGAAATTGAAAATATTTATTTAAGAAAAACAGTATACTTAAAATTGTAATCATATTCAGAATACAAATACATCTATTTAAATTTTGAAAAATATTTACATTTTACCTATTTTAATAGTAACATTTAGAGTATGAATGTATTCCCACAGATACCATTTGCACTCAGAAATATTTTCAACAATTGTAATTGTCTTTTTGTCTACTGGAAACCCCACTCACAGTTGAGAAGTGCTGTAAATATTAACTTAATTGGACTTCCTAAGGCCTTTTCCTGGGTCTAGGCTAACTGAAGTATTTGAACACTTCCCACTCCTGGTAACTGCAGGGCTGCTGCTCCTGTGGGCATCAGTGTTGGGTGGATTGAATGCTCGCAAGGCCAGACTTCACGGGTCTGTTGGGAGATTAACTGGCTTTGCGCCTTAGTTGCCTTGGCCTCACTGCTCTCTCCTCTCGTGTGTTTTTTGTTGCCTCGTTTCTAGTTGTTGTTGTTTTGTGGCAGGGTCTCAGGTAAGCCGAGGTTACTCTGAAATTTTCTGGAGTGCAAGATTACAGGCTTGGGACACCATGTCTGCTTTCTCACTCTCTTAATAGATTTCCAGTTCTTTCTGTGCTGTGTTGACTTCTCTATTTATTTGTTGTTTTAGTGCCTTTAGTGACATTTCAGTGTGCTTGTGATAGGATGTATCTTAGTCATGTTTTATCTATATTTGACTTGCTTCTGGTTGTGTTAACAGGATACTAATACACTTTGCATATCCTTCCACCCTTTTGTTGTATTTTGCAGTATTTGAAATTAACAATCTATAAAGTAGATTTGTTTTTTCATGGAGTATTTATTCCAGTGGATGACTGAATAAGACATTTATTTACTTACTCATTTGACCTTGTATCAGATACCATCTGCAGGCCAGGCAGCACGTCCGAAATGAATCATAGAGAGCTGAAAAGTACTGCTCATGGAGTCTTTCAGGTAGCTCAGGTTGGAGGACGGCTGCTTCAAGAGAGCCACGGTGGAAGCATGGCCTCCAAACGTGTGGAGATGCCCAGCCTGGCTTTAACAGATGTAGAGGTGGAGATGCCCAGCCTGGCTTTAACAGATGTAGAGGTGGAGATGCCCAGCCTGGCTTTAACAGATGTAGAGAAAACTAATGCCTTTGCCAGGCAAAAATAGCTTGAGTAACACTGTAGGACAATAAACTTTAACTCTCTACAAAACAACACAGCAACATGTTAACTAGAATCATCAGAGCCAAATGGGAAGATGAATAATTTTAATGTTCATTTTTTTAAAGTTCTAGCCATTTAAAATGATAAGAGTCTTTATGGTAGGGGAGAAACAAACCACAGTATTTCTTTTAATGTAGAAATTGGATGAGCAAAAGAAATGGTTAGATGAAGAAGTAGAGAAAGTTTTGAACCAACGCCAAGAACTAGAGATGCTGGAAGAAGACCTGAAGAAACGTGAAGCCATCGTCTCTAAGAAGGAAGCCCTGCTACAGGAGAAGAGCCACCTGGAAAATAAGAAGCTGCACTCTAGTCAGGTATCCTGTTTGTCACTTTATTCTGCTTCTAGGATATTTTCTCTCTAAAAGGTAAATCCGGAGCTGGATAAATGGCTAAGTGATTAAGAGCACTGGCTGCCCCTCCGGGGTCCTAGGTTTGATCCCAGCACACACATGGAAGCTCACAACCACGTATATACAACTCCTGTTCCAGGGGGTCCTCTTCTGGCCTCCTTGGGCATCAGGCATGCACATGGAACACAGACATACATTCAGACAAAACACCCATAAACATATAAAAATTAGAAAGTTAAAAAGGTAAATCACAACCTTAGTAAGTTGCTTTCCATCCAAGGGTGAGGTCCTGAGTTAGGATCTCAAGAACCCACACAAAAAGTGGGGGATGGAAGCAGTCACTTGTAATTTCTGTGTTGGGGAGGCAGAGATGGAGTTCCTGGGGCTGGCTGGCCAACATGGCCAAATCACTGAGCTCCAGGTCCACTGAGAGACCTTGTCTCCAAACATAATGTGCAAAACCCATTGAGGAAGACACCTGATGCTGACCTCTGGCCTTGAAACACATGTTCACATACATGGACACACAGACACACAGACACATAAAGATAAACTGTAGTTAAAAGCCAAAGCAAAATTATTATTCTCAGTGTCTTCTGCTGCTTTATCAAATGATTGACATCAAAGCATTGCCGCTTTCAGGTAGCATGTTCCATAGTCTTCAAGTGTGACTTATTCTCTTTTATTTGGTGGTAAAATATATAGAACATAAGATTTACCTTTTAGTTTTGTTCTTTACCAGTGTCTCGTATGTAGCCTGGTCTGGCCATGAGCTTCTGCCTCAGTGTCTGTTGCTAGGTTTATAGGAATGTGCCTATGGTCATGGTCAACTTAAAATTTACTTTAAAAGACATTTTTTTTGAGTTTACAATTCAGTGGCATTAATACCTACAATGTTGTTGAACTGTCACAACTATATATTTCCAAAACTTTTTCATTCCCCCAAATAGAAGCTCTGTGACCTTCCACAGTAACTCTCTTTCCCTCCTTCCTGTCACCCTCCATTAGTGATGTCAGAGGGTATTTTAAATAGATTGTACTACATGGTATTCTACAGTGGGCATTTGAAAAATGTTATCCACATGTCACTGCCACCCAACATTAGAGGGTTACAAGATTCATATAAAAAGAAAGAGGATTGTAGAATGATGGTTAGGTGTTTTGTTTAATTATAAAGACTTGAATAATATCATAAATACTTTTCCTGCAGGACTTAGACCTTAGGAGCCAAGTCATGAAGTAGTTTTATGAACAGGTTTGCCTTAGTCCCAGATTTTCAGAAAGGGATGATTGTGGAAGTGAAAGCAGCAGGAACTGTTTCTTGACTTACCTGCATGTATTTTCACTAATAGCATCTAAAAATGAAGCTGGCTTGTCAGACTTGAAAAGATAATTTCACTTAGAGCTGGCATTGGGTACAGAGAGAGTCCACACCTGTGACATAGGACAAAGGCTCAGTGGCTCACATGTCAGTAAGCATCTAGACCGGAGAGTCCAAACTGATCATGGTGTGTTCTTAACATTGCTCCCCCGGGACCTGTGTGTGACTCTGCTGTCACCCATTGCTAGTCTAGTTGTCACTGAATACAGGGTTTGGGTGGCTACTCTGACAAACATGATTCTTGATGGCACATCCAGGTAACTGCTTAAACTGTCAGGGTCAAGTTATAGAAACTATCCCTCAAAATATGTAAAATAACAGCAAAATCTTAACAAATCAAAATTACAAGGGAATGATAGAAGAAATTACCTGTATCTTTAAGATATGTTTAGTTACAAAAGAGAGAAGAAGAAAGTAAGGGTCTGTGGAGTAAAATATTATCTTAAAGTTTACTTTATGAGATGGGAAAAGAAAAAGCATAAAACAGCTGCTTTCTGATTTTAAAGAGCTGTAATTTTTTACAAAGATTTTGTTTCTTAAAATTAGGTGCATATGTCTATCTGTCTGAGAAGTATGTGCAGTGTCCTGAAGAAAAGAGTGTAGCTAGAGTTACAGGTGGTTGTGGGCCACCTGTTAAGGGTGTTCAGAACCAAACCTGGGGCTTCTGCAAGAACGGCACCTGGTGTTAACCACTGAGCATCTCTCCAGCCTTGAGAGATGGAATTTTAAGAAGCAAGAACACACTGAGATAAATAGGAAGTATAAATGAGTGAAAACCACCTTAATACTTTGAAAATTTTAACAGACTTGAGACTATTATCCCACTTGATTCTTTTCAGAAAAAAAAGGCATTAAAAGATTTCATTTTTTCTAGTGTTTGAGGAATATTTACAAGACTTTGATGATATGCATTTCAGACAAGGACCATGGTAGGCTGAATACTTATCTGAAATGACAGAAAAGAAAAATGCATTGCATACAGTTAACTCAAGCCAAGCATACATTTATTTAGTACCTGTAAATCTAGCATTCCTGAGGTAAGGTAAGATGATTGGAAGTTCTGGGCCCATTGGGCTATATATCATGTTTAAGGCTAACCTGGGCTACATAAGAATACCCTGCCACAAAAGAAACAAAAAAATTAAAATACTTCACTGACCTGCAAATAAGAGCTAAAAATTTAAAACTATTAGGAGAACACACAGTCTGGACTGCAGCCATTTTATAATGTAATTTTTTAAGATTTATTTTTATTTATATGCATGTGTCTACATCTATGTATGTGCCCACAGAGGCCAGAAGAGTGTTGGATCCCTGGCGTTGAAGTCACAGGTGGTTGTGAGCCACCTAGTATGGGTGCTGGGAACCAAACCTGGGTCCTCTGTGAGAGCAGTAAGTGCTCTTAACTTCTGACTCATCTCTCTGGCCTGCTTTGTGACTTTTGAGTAGTGATTTCTTGGATATTGCACCTAAAACACAGCAGGAAAAGAAAAAACAAATAAATTGGACTTAATATTAAAAATATTGGAGATTTAAAAGACATGATCAGGAAAGTAAAAAGATAGCTTACAGAATATAGGAAAGTATTTGCAAATTTTGTATTATCTGCTAAGAGATTGAGAAAGACTTAAAATTTGATAATAAAAGAGTAACCTGCGTTCTCTCTTACCACTTGGGAGGTTGTTGAAGTAGGAAGATTATATAGCATAATCTTGTCTAAAACAAAAACAAAATAAATATGACCTAATTAAAGAAGAAAGGATCTGAAAAGACTTTTTTCCAAAGAAGAAAAGTGAAAATAACCACATAAGAAAACAATCATAAGTTAGCCATCAAAGTAATTAATACAAAGCACAACCTTCAAAGAGATCCCGCTCACTGGGGTGGCTATAATTAGAAAACCAGATTGGAAGTATTGCTGAGGGAGTGGGGAAGAAATGGAGCATTGTCTACTGCTGGTGGGATTAGTATGGTACAGTTACCTCGGATAACCATCTTGGAGTTCTTCTAAAGGTTAAATATTCAGATATGTTGTTAACCCAGCAATTCCTTAGGTATATATTCAAGAGAAATAAAGGCACATGCCCATGTCAAAACTTCAAGGTTCATGGAATCATAGCTAAATAATAGAAACACTACAAGTGTTTATCAGCTGATGAATCAATAGGCTGTAATATATTGAGTATTGGTATTAGAAAGCAATGAGGCATTGATATCTGCTACATACGGTGAACCTTGAAGATACACGTTAAGTGAAATAAGCTAGTCACAATGTGTATTGTGTAATACTCTTCCTGAATAGGGGATTCCAAAGGAAGTAGAATAGTGGGTGGTCGCCTTGGCTAGTGAAGTGAGGTGAGATTGGGGAAAAATGGAGTGACTTACTGAGTCTTTATTGAAGGGTGATGAAATGATTCTAAAATGGATTGTGGCAGTGATTGCATAATTCTGAATATACTAAAACCCTACATGAATTTTCTTATTCAGAATACCTACCTATAGGCTGGGTGGTGGTAGTACATGCCTTTACTCCCAGCACTCAGGAGGAAGAGGCAAGCTGCTCTACAGAGCTAGTTCCAGGATAGCCAGGGCTACACAGAGAAACCCTGTGTCAAAAAGAAAACAACAACAACAACCAAAAAACAAAAACAAAAACAGCCACATGGTGGTGGTGCACTTGGGAGGCAGAGCCAGGTGGATCGCTGTGAGTTTCAGGCCAGCCTGGTCTACAGAGCGACATCCAGGACAGGCTCCAAATCTACACAGAGAAACCCTGTCTCAAAAAGAGAAAAAGAAAAACAGAATAACTGTAAAGCCAGGAAAGGACTTAACAAAAGCTGCATGATTACTCAGAGACTGTCTGCGAGATGGAAACAACAGGTGACGCCCAGAGTTTAGGACAAAAGATGAAGGCTTGAGGGAGACCTTCAGCCCCTGCCCTGCACACACCTTTAAACACAGGAACAGCGGTAGAGAAATGCAGTTCACTTACAGCATCAGAGTCAATGTGGAAAGCAGGAGTGAGGCATAGGATGGAGCAGAACATAGTTGGCAAACTTCTTTTCTCACGGGATGCTTTTTCTTCATGAGGTGGCAGGCATTAGTTAGAATGCCCCACAAAGGGAATGCATGGAGGTCCACATGCAAATTCTGAGGTATCCCTCTTGTAACTTTGGCTTAGACACCAACATGCTGCCAGCTGGAATTACACTTCCAGCAGCCCAGCACATGTTTTTAAGTAGTCCCTGCAAAAGTAGAAACCCTTATATTTAGGATCCCACATGATCCTCTCATCACATCTTACCAGCTCTTGTTTGCTTTTGCTCATTTGTTTGTCTGAGACATGGTCTTACTATGGAGCCCAGGCTGGCATAGAACTTGAGGTTCTCTTGCCTCACCCTCCCATGTCCCAGAAGTGCTGAGATTACTGTCACTATTCCCAGCAGTCTTAAGAGCTAGTAAATTCCTAACTCATGCAAGTGGGGTTTTTTTCGGGGGGTGGGGATGGTGGTACCATAGCATGCATCTGGAAGTCAGAGGACCCAGTTGGGTATCAGGTCTTGCCTTCCAGCTTATTTGAGTCAAGGTCTATCTTAGTCACTAGTGGGTAGATGAGGGTAGCTGGCCCACAAGCTTCTGGCAATTTTCCTATCTCCATCTCCCATTTTCCTATGGGATGCACTGAGATTAGAGACAAGCTAGTGCATCCAGCTTTTATAACGGTTCTGAAATCCATTCAGGTCATCAGGCCTGCACAGCAAGTGCTTCACGCACTGAACCATCTCTCCAGCCTAGTACATGACTCATAAATGCTACCACATTGCTTGGCATGGTGGTGCATGCCTCTAGTCCCAGCACTGGAGAAGCAGAGGCAGGCGGAGTTTGAGGCCAGCCTGGTCTACATAGTGACTTCGAGGTAAGCCAAGTCTACATAATAAGACCCTTTCTAAAAATAAATAAATAGAAAAATAAATGCCACCAATGTTAAAAACAAGCAATAGAACTGAAGGAAAAAGGAACTGGAGGACACTAGGAATAGAACAAGAAGCTGGAAAAGCTTCAGGAAAGACTCATATCTTCAATGTGGTTTTTAAAAAAGATACTGTAACCATAAGACAGGAAGTACAGGACATTAATGACATGAACTATTAGGAATTGAAAGGGCAAACAGAAAAAGTTGAAATATTTGAGAGTGTGTTAAAAGAAAAATCACTAGAAAATAAAGGGGGAAATCTCAGATAAATCTAGGAAACCCAGCACTGAAGTAACAGGAAATCCAAAAAGAGGAGTCAGAGAAAACACAACGTCAAAGCTCCTGGGATGGGGAGAGGGTTCAGTGGGTAAGAGCCCTGCTACTCTTGCAGAGGACTCAGGTTCCATTCCCAGCCCCTGCATGGTGGCTCACAAACCAGCTGTGACTCCAGTTCCAGAGGATCCTATGCCCTTATCTGTAGCTGACATCTGTAGCTCTCAACATCATATTAGCCTTCACTTTCTCCCTTCTAGGAACACTTAGGTTCTGATCTCAGGTACATGCATGGTGCATGTGGTAGTGTGAAAGAAAATGGCCCCCAAAGAGAGTGGAGCCATTAGGAGGTGTGGCCTTTTGGAAGAAGTGTGTCACTGTAGGGGTGGGCTTTGAGGTCTCCTTTGCTCAAGCTGCTAATTTTCCCAGTTCACTTCCAGTTGCCTTTGGATCAAGATGTAGAATTGTCCAGCACCATGGCTGGCTGCACGCTGCCACACTCCCAGCCGCCATGCTCCCCTCCATGATGATAACTATCAAAACCTCTGAAACCGTAAACCACCACCTCAGTGAAATGTTTTCCTTTCTAAGAGGTGCCATGGTCATGGTGTCTCTTCACGGCAACAGAGACCCTAAGACAGCGCATATACATACATGCAGGCAAAACATTCATATAAAATAAAAACAAATCAATCTTAAAAAGAAAAGTTTCCCAACATAATATAAGATTCTAGACTGAAAAAGCCCATCAAGGAGCCAACACAAAAGCCTTGTGAAGGGTTTAGGTGACCAGAGGAAAACAAATCTTTGATACTCCAACTTGAAAAACCAGTCACTTGTCAATCTCAGGAGCCACTTTCTCCACTTAAAAGATTTGAAGCATCTTCAGATTCATGAGGAAAATGTTCAACTAAAAGTCCTCTTCTTAGTCCAAATTCCTAATTAGTATAAAGGTCGAGTGTTTCCTGTCAAACAACTGCACTTCACATATGAAAAAGGAACATGCGGCGTCTGAAGACATCACTCAGCATGGTCATGCAAGAAAAGAATTGCTGAGGTGGCTCAGTGGGCAAGGGTGCGGTCACCAAATGCAGTGTGACCCCAGGGCTCACCACCAAATGCAGTGTGACCCCAGGGCTCACCACCAAATGCAGTGTGACCCCAGGGCTCACCACCAAATGCAGTGTGACCCCAGGGCTCACCCCGGAGAAGGAAAACTAATACATGTAAAATAACAGATTATTGAATACATTTCCTGACAACTTTGATTAAATGAAAGTATGAGATTTTACAGGTCTGTAGAAGAGTTAGTTATAAGGTATAAAAAGATGTATCTAGTCGAAGTCTGACCATGTTTTACAGATATATCAGCTATGGATAATAGTCACAGGTTCCTAATGAGGTAAGTGAGTATCGATTTACCCAAAAGCTCTCATCTAACTTACAGTGGGAAAATAGAGGAGGGAGGACACAGAGAAGGGTGTGGGTGCTAAATTCTCGCACCTGTAGTAGACAGATAGTGTCTAAAGTGGGTTGTTTAGACAGGTGGGCAAACTATTAGAAGAAGCAACTAGAAGGAGTTAAGGAGACTTATTTTAGGAAAGGTTCTGCTTTCTATTATGATATGATAAACTTTATGATAGTCTATATGTATGTTAGAAACCATATGGAAGTATATAATACAATATCTTTGCACATTGTTTTAAGTTATAATGGACAGCTCCATAATTGACCAGATTCTTATATTTTCTGACCATAATGAAATAAGAAAAAAAAGTATGCTGAACACACCAAATATTAGCCTCTAAAGAAATTGTAATGGTTTTACCATGTAATGAACTGAGGAGTAAAATAATAAAAGAAAAAGAAAAATACTGCCTCTCAAAACCTTTGTTTTTTTTAAAAAAAAAAATGAGTCTGAGTGTTTTGCCTGCATGTATAGTGCATTATGTGTGTGCAGTTCCCAAGGAGGCCAGAAGAGGGCACCAGATCCCCTGGAACTGGATTACAGACGTTAGCTGTCATGTGAATGCTGGAAACTGAACCCTGATCCTCTGCAAGAGGATCTTAACCACCAAGCCACCTCTCTAGCCCCCATAACTTCATATTTTGAAATGTATATAGATAGATAGGTTTTTCGGGACAGGGTTTCTCTGTGTAACAGTTCCGGCTGTCCTGGAACTCATTCTTTAGACCAGCCTGGCCTTGAACTCACAGAGATGCACCTGCCACCAACACCCAGCAAACCTATATATTTTTTAAGAACCATTAAATTTAAGATTTTAGAAAGTTTATGGAAGAAAATAAAAGATAGAAATAAAATCATTTAGTATCATAATGATGTTTTTCCTGTTTTCTAAGCTGTCTGAATTTCTTGTTAACTCTTTCTGTCTGATGGTTGTGTCCTTTAGGACCTAAGCACAGATAGTCTGAAAATATCAACTCGCCTGAACTTGCTGGACCAAGAGTTGTCGGAGAAGAGCTCACAACTTGAGAGCAGCACCGCTGAGGATAAAGTCAAGATCGCAGAACAGGTTCAGGCCCTCCAGAGAGAGAAGGAGCAGCTGCAGAGACAGAGGAGCATCATGGACGAAAAGCTTCAGAATGGTAGAGTGCTGTCCCCCAAAGTAAGTCAGTATTCTCTGGAGCTGGAGTTGCTGTACGATGGGTGATGTGGTGACCCCCTGGACTCTTTCCCGTGATCATAAACCTGATAAACCATCTCAGGACTGTGTCAGTAATGGGCTCCCCTGGCATCTGTTTGCTGCGATAAGCTATGCTTGATGAGAGGGAGGCAGAGACCTTCACAGAACGGCACCTGCATCAACTCTTGCTGGCATCCAGGCACTAGGGAACCAATACATCCCTTGAGCATGGCCTGCTCAGCTGTTTCTCACTTGACATCACAGATTACAGAAAATCATGTGAAAGCTTCCTTCTGTTTGTCTTTCAAGGAGAGCATATAACTTCTGTTTTTTTTTTTTTTTCTTTTTCACATTTTGGAGGGTATGCACTTGTGTGCATGTGCACATGCTGTGGTGTGTTTGTGAGGTTGGAGGACAATGTGGAGGAGTCAGCTCTCCCCTTTTTACCATGTGGTACTCAAGGGTCAGGTGTGGCCCTCAGCTCATCTGTATTCTGTGTATGTGTGGTAGTTTTGCTAGGTAGTTCACTACAGAAAACATGCCTGTGACATTAGAAGTTAATTCTTTCCTTGGAAACTTGACTGAGGATTCTCCACCATTCAAATGAAAAATTCTAATAAAATACCTTTTAGGTACAGTTTTCATTGGAGAGGGCATATAACTCAGCTATTTTTGTTTTTTGTTTGGCTTGGTTTTGGTTTTTTGAGACAGGATTTCTCTGTATAGCCCTGGATGTCCTGGAACTAGCTCTGTAGACCAGGCTGGCCTTGAACTCACAGAGATCCACCTGCCTCTGCCTCCCAGTTGCTAGGATTAAAGGCGTGCACCACCACTGCCCAGCCTGCTTTCATTTTTTTTTAACATGTAAGAAATGACTCATTCATGGCTTTCAAGTTGTCCCGGACTTCATCTTTTAAAAGCTATTTTATTTCAGTGGAAAATGATCCCAATGCCCTGTTCATAGGAGTTGTTGAACCTGAAATCTCTCTCCAAATAGTTATTGTTATGGCCTGTTATTACCCAAACAAGGGAAAGTGCTGAAAGAAGGTGAACTGCAGGAGCCTTGTGCCTTGCTAGATCTTGTGTCTTAGATTGGGCAAGGGGGGGGGGGGAAGGGGTGCTAGAAGGGCTCAAGAAGAAACAGCAGAAAGGGGGTCATGTAAGTCTACTGTGAACCTACTGTCGGATGAACTGATGAGAGGAATTAAGACTACAGTAGGCATCTGTCTAACTGTCCACTGAAGGGACATTCCACACATGTGTTGCCCTATTTTATGACTTGACTTGGAAGGGATAAGCCCCTAAAACACAGCAAGTATACGCAGTGAGGAATTCCGTCTGCCAGAATGGTTACGAGGCCGTGGAGAGGAAAGCAGACACAAACAACTGCTAAGTTAGGTTTCTCTTGAGAGTTCGTATTCCAACTGGGAAGACAGAAATGTAAGAGAATCCCAAAAGAACATGAAGAAGACAATGACGAGCAACGTAGGAAAGCTGTACTTATTACATTATTTACACAAACAGTGCGGAGAAGTCATCTGGGGAAGCTGTGTCGATGCTGCCATGGTGGACTGCAGTCATAAGTTGGATTTTGATAGAACATTACTAGGTAGAGCAGACAGAAGAGTGAGGAAACTATTAGCAGAGGGCAGAAGCCCATTATTAATAAACAGTAAAGCCATGGTAGTATACACCTGTACCCTAGCACTTGGGAGACTGAGGTGGAGAGATGGCTGTAAATTCAAGGCAAGGTCTAGGCCAACTACATGGTGAGGTGGGTCTCACAGAGAATGGCTTCTGTTTAGTGTGGAGTTCTGTGGCAGGTAACATTGACAACACCCCCTGAACAATACCATCCAGGTGGAACACAGTTGTGTGTGCCATTTGGCCTTGTGAGCTTCCCTTTGGCTTTCTTTAGTGTAGTTTTGAAGTACACTCTGCTTTCACTACCGTGTTTTAAAACCAAGATTAATATTCTCAATAAGTCTGCCAGTAGCAAATTAATGGAAGGAGATTCTAAAGTGACCCAAGACACGAATAGGTATGGAATAGCTTGCTATCTTGATGTCTTTAAACTTGCTTAAAATTATTCTTTTTACAGTAATTATTTTTCTAATTATGTTATTTACAATAAGTGATAGACTTTAGATCGTTTTAGTAGCAAATTGCCCAACAATTCACTAAAAACAGAACACTTCCATTTTTTGATGAAATCCAAAAATTAAAAATGATATATTTGAGGCTGGGCAGTGGTGGCGCATGCCTTTAATCTAGCACTTGGGAGGTAGAGGCAGGCAGATCTCTGTGAGTTCCAGGCCAGCCATGCCTACACAAAGAAACCCTGTCTTGAACCCTGACCCTACCCCCAAAAGACCCCAGAAGTTAAAAGTCTCTTAGGACTGGAGAGATGGTTCAGTGGTAAGAGCACTTGCTGCTGGAGTTCAGGTCCCAGAAACCATTTCAAGTGGCTCACAACGACTTGTAACTCCAGCTCCAGGGGAACTTGTGTCATCTTCTGGACTCTGAGCACCTGCACACATGGAATACACACAGAGACATAAACATACGGATAAATTAAAACTAAAATACAAAGTCCAAAGTCTTTTAACTGTGGGCTTCTGCGGAACAAAGTTACACACTGTCTTACCCCAGAAGAAGAGAACTAGGGTATATAAACAATTAGCAATGTAAATCTAGATCCTGAAGCTCACATCTGGACCCTGGGGCTCACTCACTGCCATTTCCAGCTCCCAAAGGCTTGAACAGTAATCTCATTGCATCATCTCTGCCATCCACAGCACAGACAGTGCGCCTGGCAGGCTTGTGCCTGCTCAGCTGTGCACCTGCCATTGTCCTTGGCAGACATCCACTACCACTGAGGGTACACCTTCACTGATGGGCTCTCGGCCTTTCTTCAGGGACTTTTTGTCCCTGCCACATGGCACCAGATGTCACCCACTCTCTATGATTCCTGCAATCTCTCATGCTTTCCAAACCAGTACTTTGTGGGAACTTTTGTAAATTGCCAAGTTTGGCTGCCAATTTGAGACACAGCACTGGCTGCCTTAGAGCCTAGCTTCTGCTGACCCTGAGCAGATACTTCCTGCCGCTTCGGGGGAACATACTTCCTTCAGTGGTGTGACCTCTTGTTGATCATAGCAGGTTCTCAGTCCCAGCTGATCAGACACTCCATGTCCTACGATGGCCCCATCCCAAGGCTTCCTAGAGTCTTGGCTTCCCTCTGACCCACATCCCAGGCCCCATCGTCTGCATTCCCTTAGCATCCCTGTTCTCCTTGCCCACTGTATGTTTTTATTAAGCTCTGAGTAGAAACAGCTTTTTTAGCCCACAGTTTAAGGTCTTCTACATTCTTCTCAAAACAGTGTGGTCAGGTTGATCATAGCAACAGCCCACTTCTCTGCTACCAGTTTTGTCCTAGTTTCCTTTCTGTTGCTGTGATAATATACTCTGACCGAAGGCAACTCAGGGAAGGAAAGGCTTATTTCAACTCTCCGGTCACAGTCCTTCACTGAGGGAAGTCGGGGCAGGAACGTGAGCAAGAACTTGAAACAGAAACCATGGAGGAACATTACTTGTTGGCATGCTTCTGGCTCACGCTGAGCTCCCTTTTGTATACATCCCAGAACAACAGTCAGCTGGGTCTTCCTGTATCAATCAGCAGTCAAGACAGTCCCACACAGATCTACCCACAGGTCAGTCTGGTCTGGGAAGCCCCGCGGTTGGGACGCCCTTCTCAAGTGACTAGCTGTGTCTAACCGGGACACCTGCTCTGCTGTGGAACACGAGAACTACATCGTCTCTCTGACTGTGTTGGGGTGCCTGTTAACCCTCACTGTCCTCCTCACTTAGCAGTCTCCGCTGACCGCTCTCCTGCTCCCCACTTTCAGTTGTCAGCTTTTTATCCTGCTCAGGTGGGTTGGAAACGCTTCGTCTTTGTTTTCCTGACGAGGCTCATTTTATCGACATACTGCTTCCCACTTCTGTCCACGCTGCTGCAGACTCAGCGCTGCAGAGCTGCTCTCTGAGAAGTGTGTACAGGAAGGGATGGAATAACCTTCATGTCTAGTCTGCCTTTCCGACTTCAGTTCCTTCTCTTACGATTAAACATTCACTTATCCAAAATGTACAGGTAACACAATACTTGTGAGGGAGCTTTTGTTAGTCTTTTGTTTCACTTCCTTATTGAAAGGAATGTGTGGTCTAAAACATTTAGAGACCAGTGCTGTAGGCCTTGTTCTCTAGGAAGCTATTAGAAAAGTACATCTCTAGGACTCACCTGGACTGGTTGTCTCAGATCTTTATCAATATCTTTAGTGCAAAGTAATGGTAATGTGCTGTACGGTCCCCCATGGCCACTTACCTTGAGTTAGAGGGACCCACAGCCACGTGGCGTGCTTCATCATATTTCTACCTTTTCACTCTTAAAATTTCATTGTGGGGTGTGTGTGTGTGTGTGTGTATACATGTACACTTAACATGTGTATACATGCACATGCTTGTATGCTGTAGCACATGTATGGAGGTCAGTGGACAGCTAGGAAGTTGGTTCCTTATTTCTGACGTGTGGATTCCAGAGTACAAACTCAGGTAGGCAGGCTTGGCAGCAAAAGCCTTTGCCCACTGAGCCATGGCACTGGCCCATGTGCAGCAGTTATTTGGAGTGGACAGTCCTCAGGGTTCTATAGTTATAAGACCTCATATTTCTTAGCAGTTCCTTGACTTCCATCCTAAACTATGGAAACTAAAATAATACTAAATAGATCTCAGCAAAATTTTCTTATTTTTGATAAAATATTATCTGAGTATCAATTGAAAAGTCAGATGTATTCTCTTTAGTTAACTCGCTTCTTTTTCTAGGTTCCTTTTATTCATTCACTTACGTATCTTTCAAAAGTATTTAAGGTGGTTTTTTCCTCTTAAAAATGTGATTGTTGGGCCTGAAAACATGGCTTCTGTGACTAGGACCTGGGTTCAGTTCCCAGCACCCACACTGAGCAGCTCACAGCCACCTGTAACTCCAGCTCCAAGACAGACAACATCCTCTTCTAGATTCTGCAGGGCACCTGCACTCACATGCCAGACAATACACAATATACACAATGTAAAATCATAAAAGTTAATCTTTCAAAATATGATTATTCTGTTTATTTTGGAACAATTATCATATAAGCAAAGGATGGTTAGTTACTGCACAGAGAAATGGCAATTGAATGTTTTCCCCAAATTGCTCTTACAGAAGATTTTATAAGATGGCTTTTTAACGTAAATACTTGACTTCCTGCTAGGTGAAGTCATTATCTGATTCTTGAGCTGGGAAAAAAAAGGAGGTCTGGGAGTCACTAACAACTCTTAGGAGTGGTGAGGAAATGGAAATATTTTTTTAAATTTTCATTAACACATTCAACAAATAGTAAGTTTAAATTATGTGATAAATACTGTGCTCAGCAGCAAGGATGTGAGTATGGGTCAGGTAGTCTTCCTGGAGAAGCTTGCTTTAGGTGACCTCAGTGCAGACATAGGATACAGAGATACATCCAAGTCTCCATTGCTAGGATCTGGGTTCCCCTGCTTTCTCCCAGATAGCATGAATTTGGACAACTCAAAGGACTATTTTGTCTTCTGACACAAACAGTATATTAACTGATATTATAGTGCCACCATTTAAAAAATAACACTTCATTGTACATGAACTGCGAAATGGTCTTTCAGTTAAAAAAAAAAACCCAGTACCAGATATCGGGGTAAATGCTGAAAGAGCAGAGAGACAAAGGAACAAGCCACAGCCACCACCTCTTACCTCGCCAACTCCTCCGCCTGAAGAGACTTCTAGCTGAAAGGGGTTCCTCAGCCGAAAAGCCTTTAGTTCTTGCTCCTCACGCCTTACATACCTTTCTCCACCCAGCCATACCACTTCCTGGGATTAAAAGCATGTGTGCTTCCCAGTACTGGGATTAAAGGTATCTGCTACCACTGCCTGGCCTCTATGTTTAATCTAGTGGCTTGTTCTGTCCTCTGGTCTTCAGGTAAATTATTTTTTATTTTATTAGAGTACACAGTATATCACCATGCTTCATAGGAATCTTTTTTTTTTCTGAAGGGGGTTAAAATAGGGTCTTGTTATGCAGCCCTTGAACTCATGATTCTCTTGCCTTAGCCTTCCAAGTACTGGAATTTTAGGCACAGGCCTCTGTGGCTGGTCCATTTCATAGGAATGAAACGTTCCACTTCGTCGGGTCTGACTGCTTCTGTCACCTTTGCTGCATTTCCTCCAGAGACTCTTCTGATCACGGTTCTCATTTGCTGGTTCCAAGTGCAGGTGTCCCTTCCCTTTGTCCTTGCACTCTTTGGAGGTGCAACAGATCCACCAGGTCTCCTTAGTGGAGAGTCTACACTTAAATGCACTTTAGGAATATTGGAAGGAGATGACAGTATTGCAACTTCTGTGAGCTGAGGCCATGTTCCGGTGTATCCTTTGGATTAGGTAACCAGTGTTTGCTGCATAGCCTTGGAACATTGTGGAACTCACTTAGCTTTTACATCTTCCATTTTGTTATGTAATGTTTATGGTGAAGACTTGATGATTCTGCATTGTACAATGTCAGGTGATACATCATACAGCTTAGGCAAATCGCAAACACCGAATGAATCCTTAACATCAGTGAGAGTCTAAGGGGATAGTCCTTTAGACAGAGGCTCTGTCACATGGTAAGATCTGAGCTAAGCGTGTGACAGAATTCAGGTTATACCTTTTCTTAAGATGAATGCTCTCTGTGGTCTCTAGGAAGAACATCTTCTTTTCCAACTTGAAGAAGGAATAGAAGCCTTGGAAGCTGCGATTGAATTCGAGAACGAAAGCATCCGGAGTCGCCAGAACTCACTTAGAGCATCATTCCAGAATCTCTCTCAGAGTGAAGCTAATGTCGTGGGGAAACTGGTTTGCCTAAATCTTACTGAGATTAGAGCTATTCTTTTCAAATATTTCAATAAGGTATGTTTCCAAGGAACAACACTTCCCTTACAAGAAATGGTCAAGGTACCCTTATTTATATCAAACTTTTAAAGAAACTAAAAGATTGAAAGATTTGGTGACATAACTTTAATTTATAGCCTTCCTTCTTATTCCTTGATTCTAAATTTAAATGCTGTTCATGAAAATTCTAGGGCCCTGCGAGTTTTCCTTCCTCCGTTGCTGTGAGTAGACTACACTGTGCATTTCCCATCATGATGTGAGCTGGTGGAGATGACGTGGGGCACGGTGGCAGGGATAGGCTTTATTCGTCTGAATGTGATCGCTTCATGAGATCGCCTTACAGAAATCAAAGGACTTACTGTTCACTGATGGACATATTCTGTGTCCTTGAGAATATGTTCACATTTTCTCTAATATTTTTTCACTTAAGATACACATCATGAAAAATGGCTTTTCCCTAAAAATATATTGAATTAATGAGAGTATCCAACAGTTGATACAAAGTTAGACAAAGGCTTTTTCAAGGTCTATTTGTGTGAAATAAAGTGAATGAAAAGCTCAGGATAGTATTATACCACCTTTAATCCCAGCACTAGAGAGGCAGAGGCAGGTGGATCTCTGTTAGTTTGAGGCCAGCCTGGTCTACATAATGAGTTGCATGCAGGAGAGCCAGAGCTACATAGTGAGATCTTATCTCAAAAAAAAAAAATGAAAATCTGAGGCTTGTGTATCAGTCAGTAGTCAGTAGCTATTACTGATGAGACTGTGCTTTGTTGGCATGTGGCCTAGGCTTGGAGATAGAGTCTCTGATTGCATCCTGAGGGCTCCTAGCCCAAGGCTGCTGTGTAGAAGTAGGTGCTGTTTTAGTGAGGTCATTGGAGATTCCTGACAGGTTCTACTGCACAGACACTGTCCACATTGCTCTGCTTCCTACAGCACAGCAGACCTTAACAGACACATGCATGGCCTCAAGAGGAACCTCTGTGTCGATGTCAGAATGCTCTTCAACTTAGACAGAGTGATGTTGCAAGAATAGAAACATACCCCAGTATCCTTGTGGACTAGAGAAACAGTTATAGCCAGGCATGGTGGCACATGTCTGTACATTCCTAGCACTTAAGAGGCAAGTTCAAGGCCAGCCAGGGGTATACAGTAAAAACCTTGTCTCCAAAGAAAAAGCAAGCAAGAAAGAGAATCATAAAATCTGAACTCAGTGATCTTATCTAAGAAGTTTTAGAGTGGTGGCTATTAGTGCACTATTGTATTGAAAATGAAAATATTACCAATTCAAAATTCCAACAAATTCAAAAGGTTGTTAGGCTATTTTATAGTTATGTTTTACAGCATTTGCCAAGGCATCCAACACCTTTTCAAAGGCACTGAAGATGTTACTGAGGTTGAGTAATCCAAGAAAACTGGACTGATCTTTGTGTTAGGCTATGTAAGCTACACTTAAAAGGCCAAAAAATGTCTTTGATAGGTGATTAATTTGCGAGAAGCTGAGCGCAAACAACAATTGCAGAATAAAGAGATGAAAGTGAAGGTTCTGGAACTGGATAACATGGTCCACGAGTTAGAGTCTGCACTGGAGCATCTGAGACTGCAGTGTGACCGAAGACTGACCCTCCAGCAAAAGGAACACGAACAAAAGATGCAGCTGTTGTTACATCACTTCAGAGGTAACCCCTTGGGTGTCGGCTGAGGTGGGGAGTGCCGAGGAGGAAGCCAGGCCAGAGTGGGATCTCCCAGTGTGTGTGCATAGCTCCTCCTTACAGACAATCTGGGCCTTTACGTGTGTGGCTACCATGCTTCGTACCTGCTCCCAGGCACTCAGAACCTCCTCTCATCCTGTTGGTCTGTTAGTCTGCCTCTTGTGTGGAAATGTAAGACAACTTCTGGCTTTTTCATGTACAGATGAGTGATAGGTTCTGTTGTCATTCCTGGTTATATTCCTTGTTATAATTTTAGTTGAGTTATATCATAGGTCAAAATTGATGGACACATGATACTATAATATTATGAATGACCAGCAGCACAAGATTCTGGTGTAGAAAGAGAGCTATCACACAGGTAAGTGGCCTCACCTTACCTGAGTACATGGCTGGTATCCAAACAGGTGCTGTGGCAACACAGTCTTGCCAGCCGAGTCTCCTTCAGCTCTCGTTCAGGCTGCTTAGCCCTGAGGTTCCTGAATACAGAGCTGCAATGGGTGAAAGGGATTTGAAAGAAGCAGAAAATTGGAAAACATAAATTTGGGTCTTGAGGAAACGACAGTGAGCTAATTTTACAATGTAAATGTAACTTTGCCTAACGAACAGGATTTCCCTTGGCAGGACCCCACTGCATTCAAATATGTCCTGTTCCTTCTGTAGTTCTGTCTAATAACTCTGAAGTGGTAACTGAATTGAATGCCTGGTTTTGAGATGGCTAGAATTGCAGAGCAGTGAGTCCTGGCTTAGTTGGTGGAGCGCCACAGACCATGGGGAAGCCTTGGGTTCCGTTCCCAGCACCTCTTATTCTCATGACACTGTGTCTCAAAAAAATCAATAACGACCCAGTTGTTCCTATAGTTATGCATGCAGATTATACACAGTAGCTATGATTAAAATTACTAACAATTTGAGAATTTTCTAATTTCAACTGTGTTTGTATGGGAAATAAAGCTGATAGGCTATGTGGCTTTTGGTTGGTTGGCCTTTTTGGTTTTGGTGCTGAAGACCAGACCCTGGGGCCTTGCATGTTAGTCATGCATTCTACCATTGGAATGCTACTGGTTTGAAGTAATTTTTATAGCTAGATGATGGGTTAAATAAGATAGAAGGATAGCAAAAGAAGATTGAATACCAATAGAGTTACATTTTTATATGTGCTGTACAAAGGAGGGCATAGCTCTGAAAGTGTATTTTCTGAAGGTCAGAAAACTGGATTTTATCATTATAGAACAATGGTACACATTCACAACATTAACTAGAAGTCTTAAGTTACCTGGAACAACAACCAAAGCTCCCCACCCCCCATTCTGCAGTGTTTTTTTCCTTGTTATTTTATTCTTTCTAGGCTCATTATTCGCAGCTTTTCTTGTGTGTGTGTGTGTGTGTGTGTGTGTGTGTGTGTGTGTGTGTGTGTGTGTGTGTGTGTTTTACTGTATATTTCTCGGACCTATAAACCCAGACATATAACTTGCCATATATCCACAGTTCCTAATGCAAGCTTGAAATAATATATTAACACAGATGATTGGTAGAGTTCTACACATTGAGTTGTTTTTAAGAGGAATGCCCATTTGATAAGGTTTGTTAGTAGTAATGGCAAAAAATGCTGAGTTGTGAGCAGGACGTGGCAGGTAGAGAAGGAAATGAAGGGATCGATTCTTTGAAAGAAGTTTTATAGCCAGAAGAATCCATATTGTGGCTGAACAAATCCTTCAGGTAACAGATATGTACAACATACTTCTCCTTCAGGTAACAGATATGTATAACATACTTCTCCTTCAGGTAACAGATATGTATAACATACTTCTGACCCTTTAAAGTCAGTCTGCAGCTATGCTAAAGTATAATTTTGAATCATTTGTTTAAAGCCAAGGTTAAATGTAAATTTTTGCTTTGTAGAGCAAGATGGAGAAGGCGTTATAGAAACCTTAAAAAAATACGAAGATAAAATCCAGCAACTGGAAAAAGATCTTTACTTCTATAAGAAAACCAGCAGAGATCTTAAGAAGAAACTGAAAGAGACTGCCCGAGGAGGAGCATCACCATCGCCGTGGCAGCTCTCGTTAGCAGAGCGTAAGGCTTTGAGTGCCACCTGCCATATTAACCCTGCCTCCCCCTCCCAAACATCTGCTGAGGTCCTGCCTGACGCATAGTGAGCACTTCCCGAGTGACAAGGTGGTTTAGGGGAGGTACTTAATGTGTCTCTGTAGACAGTGTTTCCTCAGGTTGTATGTAAGACAGACCCCATGAGGAGTGCTGGGAACATGAACACATGTATGTGTGTAGATAATGGTCATGCTTTTCTTTTTTTTTCTTTCTTTTTGTTTTTTATTTTGTTTTGTTTTTTGAGACGGGGTTTCTCTGTATAACCCTAGATGTCCTGGAACTCACTCTGTAGACCAGGCTGGCCTCGAACTCACAGAGATCCACCTACCTCTGCCTCCTCAGTGCTGGGATTAAAGAGGTGCACCACCACCACCACCACCACCACAATCACCCCCTGGTGATCACTTTTTTCTTATGGGCAAAGCTTTATTCATTATGGAAAATATTAAAATCAAATTTGAAAATGAAAGTATAATATGCCCAAAGTATTGTTTCAGAAGAATATATTAACTCCAAATAAAGGTTGTCTCAAATCATATCTTGTGGTAGTATAAAGGCTGCACTTAGTTCTTCCTTTTGTGGTGAATTAATGAATTGAACCTCTTCCCTCTTGAACTGGGAGTGTTGTACCTCACCCATGCTCAGCAAGTATACACTCTTAAGGTTAGCCTTAGTGCAGACTTGTAAATCTGCCCTGGAGTTTATCAATATGAACAGTAGCTACAGCCTTGTTAACATTCTCTTATTAACCACTAAGGAATGTACTTGATTTCAAACATTAAAAATGTGTAAAACTTAAATATATAAGCTATGCTAAGTAATACACACGCTGTAGAAATGATTATTTTTACTGATTGCCTGCTATGTGAGAGTAGCTTTTGCTATCCTTGACCTTCAGCCCTTAGGGCGGCCCTATCATTTAACTCTTACTTTCCTATGTTATAAGAAAGTAAGCCTTCTGAGTACCATAAACACTGTACAGAGGAAATGCAGTGGTTAGGAGAACTGGCCGCTCTTGCCACAGACCTAGGACCTACATGGCGGCTCACAGCCACCTGTAACTCCATCTCCAGAGGGTCTGAAATCCTGTAGCCTCACATAAACATACATGCAAACACATAATAAATAAATGAATCTTTTAAAACAAGACTTTAAAAAAATGTTCAAAGTAGAATAGTACAAGTGAAACTCAGGTCAGTCCTAAGGTGTGCCCTCCAGAAATTTAAAAACATGACCAAATTCAAAGATATTTCCTTGTATAACCATTAAATGTACATATGTAAAATCAGTCCCTTCGTAATAGAACAGTTACCATGACAAAGTACTCGGCAAAAGTCAGAAGCTCCTGGAAAGTAATATATTATTCCTTTTTATAAGACCTCAAAATAGGAGGGCAATCAATATTTCTGAAATAGCTTGACCCCAGATTTAAAAGTTAGGAAGTTTATAGAAGAAACACTTTAGCTGATTTTTAAAAATAATTTCTATGACTAAAGAAGATATTAAGCCAACCATATTCTAGTTTATAATTCAGGGTTTAAAACAACCAACTTTGAGCTTGATCCCTGGTACTGGGGAAACCAAGCAGAACTTATTGTGAAGCTTTTTCAAAGCTTCCCTCCAAACCAGAACGAATGGACTAGGTGCTGGCACAGGTCTTCACACGGAGGTAGGACAGACACAAAGCTGACACTAAGCAGTGGCTCCCGAAGTTGGCTGTGCAAGCTTTCTAGTCACCAGTGAGCTTTAACAGTCCTGCCGTCAGTGTCTGCCCACGGAGCCAGCTCTCTGAGCAGTCGTACATGAGACCAAGACCTGGGAAGCCAGGACCCAGACATGCCCACTGGGTTTCTTTCCATTATTATTTATTGTGTGTGCATGTATGTGTGTGGGGGTGCGGGTGGGGGTGAGGGGTCAGAGACAGAACTTGCAGCAGACAGTCAGTTTGCTCCCTTGATAATGTGGGTCAGTTTAAAGGCAAGCTCCAGGTAGAGGGAGAAGGTAACCCTGTGTGGGCTTGAGTGCTGCCAGGATACCACCTGTGTTTACATTTTAACTTCAAGGACTAAAAAGTGTACTAAACATCTGACATCACGTGTTAAAGTTGGCAACTGATTTATCACTACTAACTATGTGATAAACCACAGGCAAGATTTTATATTAGGTATGTTATAATTGAAGACTTCTGAGGTTTTAACTCTCCAGTCACCCTTAATGATCCACTGAACGGGGCTGTACTCACCAAAGGTGTATGCCCTGACCTCCGTTCTGATAGCAGAAGTTGTGGAACACATCACAGACTACAGATGGATAACAGAATATTGCTATCATGCTAGGGGCCAGCCAAGACCGGGTTTTCATACGTGTATGTGAGGATGAGTGCCTGGAGGTAAGGGCAGAGCAGGCTTAATTTGGCCCGAACTTGGCATTAACCAGTAACAAGCCAAGCGAAGAGAGAAGTCAGAATGGAGAGATGGCTCACTGGTCTTGCACAGGACCCAAAGTTCAGTTCCTGGCACCCATGTCAGGTGGTTCATAACACCTGTTAAGTCCAACTTCAGGGGACCTGACAACCTCTTCTCGCCTCCTCAGGCACTGCACACATGTGATACCCATACATATATGCAAGCAAAACACTCAGATACATGAAAATAGATAACTCTTCAGGCTAGAGAGGTGGCTTAGCGGTTAAAAGCACTGCCTTCTCTTCCAGAGAACGCAGGTTTGGTTCCCAGTACCCACATGGCAGCTCACAGTTTCCGGCTCTAGTCCCAAACAAAGCATATGCATCCTCTTGCTCTCCGCAGGCATCATACACATATATGCAGTAGGTGTACAGACACACATGCAGGCAAACACTATTCACACAAAATAAAACAGTGAATTACATTAAATTAAACTTAAAAATTAATAACTATTTTTTAAAAGATTTCAGAGACACACCAAGTACTCAGGTTTCTAGAGAGTACCAAAATCACTACATGATTTTTCAACTTAAGTGAGTTAAAAAAAAATCTGTTATTCACATTTCAAGAAATTTATAAGTGAATCAAGATTGATTCTTAGTCACACATCTATTTGAAGAAGTCATTAAGCAAAAGTCTGAAAACACTGTTTATGTTCAATCATAATGCTGTAGTTAGTACCTGGTTTTGAGATGTTTCTTTTGTTTTGTGTGGATTCTCCTTAGACCGTGATGCTGGAGATGGAGTCTTGAATCCGGAAGAGGCGGCTGTGCTTTCTGAAGAACTAAAATGGGCATCTAGAACTGAAAATACAAAAATGAGTGGAAGAGAAAGAGAAGTAGACAATTCTTCAAGTAGCTTAAAAACGGAACCACTGCCCGTGCAGACTCTGGAAGGTAGCCCAGACTCACTTCCAGTCCACGGCTCGTTAGCACCCTCCAGTGGCCAACTGTTAACCAATGCCGATAAACCCGAGGACCATCCCTTGGAACAACCTCCGAGTCCACCGCCCTCCCGGTTTCAGCCTGTGGGAAATACGGGGCAGCTTCAGGGTGTCACGCCTGTCAAACTGTGTCGCAGAGAATTACGTCAGATCTCTGCTCTGGAGCTGTCATTGCGACGCTCCGGTCTTGGAGCTGGGACCCGGTCTGTAATTGCTGATTCCCTTGAAGTACCCGGGGAAACCTAGCGACTTCAAAGCATAGGCATTGGACAATAAAACTTTTAATTTAGTAAATATGTGACTGATCCCTGTTTCTAACTTACAAAATGAAAACTCAGGGTCACCAGCTTTTTCCCAGGATATAGGAAAGGGGGGTTGATAGCACTCTTTTTTTTTTCTTCATTTTTCTTTATTAAGAAATTTTCTCCTTATTCCACATACCATCCACAGATTCCCCCCCTCCTCCCTCTTCCCACCCCCCAGCCCTCACTCCCAAGCCACGCGACGCATCCCCACATCCCCCAAATCGAGGTCTCCCATGGGGAGTCAGCAGAGCCCAGCACACTGAGCCTAGGCAGGTCCAAGCCCCTTCCCACTGCACCAAGGCTGTGCAAGGTGTCACACCACAGGCACCGGATTCCCAGAAGCCTGTCCATAGACCAAGGACAGATCCCTATCCCCCTGCCTGGGTGCCCTCTAGCCAAAACCTGGAAACAACCTAGATGTCCCTCAACTGAAGAATGGATAAAGAAAATGTGGCACATATACACAATGGAGTACTACTCAGCAGTAAAAAAAACAATGATATCATGAAATTTGCAGGCAATGGATGGAACTAGAAAGTATCATCTTGAGTGAGGTAACCCAGACTCAGAAGGACAAACATAGTATGTACTCACTCATAAGTGGATTCTAGATGTGAGGGAAGGGATGGCCAGATGGTACTCTTGTGTACCATAGTGTATTTTAGGGTTTTACTATTTCATAAATGCATTTTTGAATGCTTGGTACATTGAACTATTTCTACCTATATAAGTATATTTAAGTTCTTTTCCAGGAATATTTGCTTTATTTTTTAAGTACATTTGAAGAACAAAACTAAGACTAAAACACTTTTCAAATGTATATTATTCTATATAATATAAAGGCATATTATATTCTATATAATATAAAGGCATATTAATGTATATAAGGCATATATACATTATAACCCTTAAGTGTTGGAATGTTAAAGTATACATATGTTGCTATTTTTTAGCTCCAGATAAATCCCAGTTGTGCCCGAGTTACCTACCTACTGTGTTTGTTTGGTAAGATGAAAATGTTTGCCAGAATTAAGCCTGAGGGCCAAGGCTGCATCACAGTTGTTAGGATCCACAGAGGTGGCACATCAGCCTTAACTCTAACATGGTATCTTTCATTTTTATAGTTATATATTCTTTGTTTGATAATACAATAGAATGCAAGTTTTCACCTTTATCTTGCCCTGTGCATTTCACATCCCTCTCATATGTCTCATATGATGACAGAATTGTGAGAAATGTCTGCAGCTCCTGGAACAGGACAGGGAACCACACAGAGTAACATAAAACATTCCAGCATTCTAAGGAGCAGCATGGCCTTGTGGAGTGCGTGGGTAATGCATGCATCTGACAGGCTAGAAGCTGAGACCTGACCATCTCAGCTTTCCAGCTTTGAAGACCCGATGGCACTGGGGTGTAAATATGTACATGAAATCTTGTTAACATTTCCCTCTAAGTTTTTCCGGTTCAATTAAATGAGCAATTAGTTTTTCCCTGCCATATTTGTCTATGGTAGGCAACATCTCATTATAATGTCCTGAAATATTGTTCCTTTTCCAAACTTTCATGTGTAAGTCAGGGTTGGTTTTTGTTTTTGTTTGGGTTTTTTCGACTAATTAAAGTTGTGTGGAGCCAGTAGCTTACAGGTGCTTACTCAGTTCCCACTGATTCTCTTGCCACCTCCTTCCTTGCTGAGTTTATTTTTTAAAGTGTATCTATGTTTACACACACACACACACACACACACACACACACACAATATCATATATTAGTCTTGTGGCAAAAAGTCAGTGCCTTCAACTAAACATGTTATATGTTAATCTGGGTATGGTGGCACACCCCTTTAATCCCAGCACTTTGGAGGCAGAGGCAGGTGGATCTCCGTCTGCCTGGTCTATATAGTGAGCCCTAGGACAACCAGGACTACATAGAGAGACCTTGTCTCAAAAAACAATTATGTAGCAGTAAATATCTTTTTTATTAATGAAGGTCTTAACTGTAAATTTCTTTAAGAATAAATAACGTGCTATGCCTCAGTAAGTAATTCATATAATTATGTGTTTTGATTAAAACATTTACTGTACCTGTGGAAATATAAACCTCGTTTTCACTAGCAAAGCAACAGAAGTTACATAAAACTACAATGATTTCATCAGACAATACAATATGAATTGATTGCCAAGTAACAAAAGTATTTTTCCCCTGTTTTGTTAAACATTTCATTTGTATCTTGTATATGCCTTGATAGATTTTATTCACATACTAAAACATATATAATGTTCCAAACATGTAATTTAGGTTGAACAATTCAGTCTAGTTCGATCAGTATGCTTACAAAGTAATCACAATATAAGGTACCTCCTCCCCAGTGCAAACTCAGCCTCATTCTCCATGGGGGTGTGCATGCATTTGCCTGCTCGTGCATATTCACTGGGCATGTGCCTGTGGAGGCCAGAGAAGGAAGTTGGGTACTTTCCACATAATTTTTGGGGAAAGAGTTTCTCACTGAACCTAATCACTATCTAGAGTAGGCTGGCTAGCCAGCAAGCCCCCAAGAGCACCTGCTTCTCTGCCCGCCCTGCCCCGCCCCGCCCCGCCCCACCCCTGCCATGCTGGGGTTTACAGTCCCCACCACACCTGGACTGAACTCAGATCCTCGTGCTTACGCAGCATTTGACCTCCGTCTCCTCAGCCTGACTTTCTCAGTGTATATAAAATGGGGCTTTGGTTTGGTTTTGTTTTTTCAAGACAGGATTTCTCTGTGCAGCTCTGGCTGTCCTGGAACTCACTCTGTACCCAAGCTGGCCTGGAACTCAGAGATTCATCTACCTCCCTAGCTGGTATTAAAGGTGTGTGCCACCACCTCTGAGCTTATATAAAACAGGATCTTTGTTGTTCGGTATATTCTCACATTTTCCACGTGCAACAGAACATTTAAAGGGAGAGTGGTTTGCCTCTTTAAATATCCTTTCCGTCCCTAACTGGAGTGTTTGTAGGAGAAGTTTGTAAATCTGGAACCGTGGGGAATGACAGCAGGGATGCAGGTGCTTCTGCGCCCCGTCCTGAGCTGGGGTCACCGCAGGCTGTGGGCACACTAGAAGGTGCTCTGCTGCCCTCGGCACTGGATGCTGCTTTAGTTCGATTTCACTTCTGATGGAATTGTTTGGGCCCCTCAGTTACTCATATCCTTATGAACCTGGACTTCAAAGAGTCAACAGAAATACATTATGATTTTTAATGACATGGACTTGATTTTTGTTAGCTATTACTTTGTTTATAATAACCTACAGCAATAAAGTCAGGCTTATTTAAGAACAGGTGCCTTACATGACTGGTTGTAATGGAATCAAATCACTAGTAAGGGCAGTTCGTGCTCAGCACAGGTTCTCAAACATTGGGTGCAGGATGATACGCAGGGGTCCAAGTAGAAGGTCATTCATAGTGATAGTTCTCTTCTTTGGAATTTTAAAAATATTATGTGTATCTTACATTTAAAACTGGAACATGCTATAGGCTGTCTTAATCTGGGTAACATTTTCAAAACGTACCAAATGTGAGAATGAGCCCCTCTACAGTAACTGTCTCTAGCGCTCTGAGGACTGGCTGTGAGCCTGTAGTGGTGTAGTTAGGGTCACAGGTAGGGTCACTTACCTGGCTCACCACAAGGGCACATCCACCCAGAAGGCAGTGCTTTACCACTGCAGTTGCTGCTGGTGGCTGGCTTTGCAAGGGATTTAACTGTTTACATTCTCTACAGAAATACACGCCTCACCTGCACACGGTCACTGCTTATTTGCTCCTCTTAGCATGAACTGCTCACAGGCACCAAATACTGAAAATGGTATTTGATGGTCATAACATCCTTTGAATTGAGCCAAGCATGAGAGTAATCAGAACCAGGGAAGTTATAAAAAGAAAGAAAGAAAGCCTTATGTTACAGTGTCAGTTTTTAATGTTTCCAGTGGTTTTCATTTGCTCCCACTCGAGACAGTTTTATTAGAATTTAAAAGAAACCCCTCCCCTAGGGAAGGCAAGCTGTATTTGTCTCTTTTAGTATATTTTAATTTTTTTTATAGGAAGGCCCTTGTAACAGAGCCCCAGACCTTAGCACAACTGACTCCATGATGGAAGTGCCGTTCAGGCTGTAACACTCAGCGTGTAGACAGCACCACCTGCCAAAACTTTTCAGAAGCCTAACCCATCAAAGCCCACAGTTCGGGGAAGTCTCTAAGTGCACTGACCTTGCCTTTTGACTTCTGCAGTTAGTTACACTTCTGGCTAACTGTTCTTGTTAACTCAAGTATGACAACCCAGGATATGGTTGCTGTGCTTAAAAGCTCACCCTGGAGGCCCGGCGGCAGCCGGCAGAGACATACAGGCCCCTCAGCGGAGACAAGCAGACACAGGTAGGCCCGCGGAGGTAGACAGGCCGACAGGGACATACAAGCCTGACTGCAGCAGCAGAGACATACAGACCTGGCGGCAGCCCGCAGAGATAGACAGGCCCCGGCAGCAGCGACAAGCACAGGCAGGTAGGCCCAGCGTTGGCCGGCAGGGA